TGGTGGTGGTGGTGGTGGTGGTGGTGGTGGTGGTGGTTGTGGTGGTGGTGGTGGTGGTGGTGGTAGTGGTTGTGGTTGTGGTTGTGGTTGTGGTGGTGGTTGTGGTAGTGGTGGTGGTGGTTATTGTGGTGGCGGTTGTTGTTGTTGTTGTCGTTCTTGTTGTTGTTGTGTTGGTGSTGGTGGTTATTATGCAGGTGGTGGTTGTGGTGGTGGTGGTTGTTGTTGTTGTGGTTGTTGTTCTGGTGGTTGTTATAGTTGTTGTTGTTGTGTTTGTTGTGGTTGTGGTTGTTGTTGTTGTGGTTCTTGTTGTTGTTGTTGTGGTGGTGGTGGTTGTTTTTGTTGTTGGTGTTGTGGTTGTTGTTGTTGTTTTTGTTGTGGTTGTTGTTGTGGTTGTTGTTGTTGTTGTTGTTGTGGTTGTTGTTGTTGTTGTTGTTGTGGTTGTTGTTGTGGTTGTTGTTGTTGTTGTTGTTGTTGTTGTTGTTGTTGTTGTTGTTGTTGTCGTTGCTGTTGTTGTTGCTGTTGTTGTTGTTGTTGTTGTTGTTGTTGTTGTTGTTGTTGTTGTAGTTGTGGTGCTGGTGGTGATGGTTGTTGTGGTGGTTGTGGTTGTGGTGGTGGTTGTGGTTGTGGTGGTTGTTGTGGTTGTTGTGGTTGTCGTGGTGGTGGTGGTGGTAATGGTGGTGGTCGTCATCGTGGTTGTTGTTGTCGTGGTGGTGTTGGTGGTTGTGGTGGTGGTGGTGGTGGTGTACGTGGTGTTGTTGTTGTGATTGTGGTTGTTGTAGTTGTGGTGGTTGTTGTTGTTGTGGTGGTTGTTGTGGTGGTGGTGGTGGTTATTGTGGTGGTGGTTGTTGTTGTAGTTGTTGTTGCTGTTGTGGTTGTTGTTGTTGCTGTTGTGGTTGTGGTTGCGGTTATGGTTGTTGTTGTCGTTGTGGTTGTGGTTGTSGTGGTTGTTATTGTGGTTGTGGTGGTTGTGGTGGTGGTCGTGGTCGTGGTTGTGGTTCTGGKTGTGGTAATTGTGGTTGTGGTGGTTGTGGTGGTTGTGGTTGTTCTGGTGGTTGTAGTTGTGGTTGTGCTGGTTGTGGTTGTTGTTGTGGTGGTTGTGGTTGTGGGTGTGGTGGTRGTGKTGATCGTTGTGGTGGTTGTCGTTGTGGTTATGGTTGTGGTGGTTGTGGTGATCGTGGTTGTGGTGATGGTTGTTGTTGTCGTGGTGGTTCTTGTGGTGGTGATTGTTGTGGTGGTGGTTGTGGTTGTGGTGATTGTGGTTGTGGTTGTGGTG